TCTCTCTCTCTCTCTCTCTCTCTCTCTCTCTCTCTCTCTCTCTCCACATCTTTCAAATCGTCCTTCCCTGCGCACTGTGCCTTGTTGATGATCTCCCTCGTTCCTAGATTCAATACGCCCGAGACCACCACATCCCGTTTCTTGCGCAGTCGGGGGGTCATGCTTTGGCTGGATCTGTGGTCGTTGGAGATGAGGACCTCCTTCAAATCAACCTGCGGCAGCTCAACGAAGTCCGATTCGACTCGACTGGGACTTTTGCTACGGTTGGGGGCGGTGTGCTGATGGATGAGTTCATTAATGCGACGCATCGGAATGGACGAGTAACCAGTATGGGTTTCTCCTTTCACTTTTGTTTTTGTTGGATATTTGCTTACACAAGAGTTCAGCGGTGGGATCTTCCCCGTGTACTGGCGTGATGGGGGTGACTCTGGGAGGAGGGCTGGGTAGGTAGTTCACCATTGTTCATGGCCCAAAGATTCTATTAACAGAACAAATCAGGTCGACTTCAGGGACTGTACGGATACATGATTGACAACATCGTCCAAATGACGGTCGTCCTGTATGATGGAAGTATTCGAACGGTGTCTCCCCACGAGAACCGCGATCTCTGGTGGGGGATGCGTGGAGCCGGTAAGTAACGAAGCGCTTTTTCACTTTCAACCTCAACCTCAACTTTGGGACTAGAAGTAGAATGATGATCAATGATTCACAGGGCAGCAGTTCGGAGTGGTCACGGAGGCGATGATCCGCACGTACCCGCAACAGAACGATGGGATGCATTTTGTGGCCGACCTGGAGTTTGAGAGCACCGCCGCCGCGCAGATCTTCGCCGCCGTGAATCGCATGGCGAGCCCGGCGCTGCCCAGTCATTTGGCCATCACCATCGTCTCCCACTATCAGGGTGATGGGGAGCCGGTAAGAATAATCAAGTCCCTTTCTCGTGTGTTTCTTTGCTCTGTCCATTTCTGTCTTTCTTCTTTTTTTTTTTTTTTTTTTTTTTTTTTTTGTTGAATTGGACTGACACCATCGTCGAGGACCAAACTCTAGTCCCTCCTGCTCGTAAACTTCGTATGGTCCGGCCCCCGCGAGACGTCCCTGGAGTATCTGCGCATCTTCCAGGAGCTGGACCCCGTTTCCTGCCGCGAGAGCTCAGTCCCTTGGGACGTCCTTCCGTGGGTGACGTATCGGGCGCTGAACCGATTGATCTGCGACAACCCGGGGGGCCAGAAGAATAGCTACTCGGCGAGTGTGGCCGTCTACGATCCTGAGGCCATGGCAGCGCTGGTCCACGACTGGGAGGCTCGGAATAGAAACCCAAAGTCTCGAGGTCGGGTGAGGTTCTCCCTGATGATGCAGACTTTTGGCAACACGTCTACGTCTACGTCTCGTAGGGCAGTGGAAGAGGAGGATGCGTTTCCGTGGAGGAACAGGTTGAATCATCTTGTGTATGCTACCCCACCCTTCTACCTCTCCCGCTAAATGGTGATTTGTAACTCTGGCAGCTCTCTTCAAGCACAGTACACGGATGAGTCGTGGCGCGCCGAAGTGGACGATTTGCTCCGGGCCAAGCGAGACCTTCTGGTCGGGGACGGAAGACTGCAGCAATATGTGAATCTGGGGCATGGAGTCGGCGACCCGGTCAAGGCCCTGTATGGCTACGAGGGCACCCGACTGCGCCGGCTGAGGGCCCTCAAGGCCCGGTACGATCCTGAGGGGTGGTTCGATCTGTACCAACCTCTGCGCCGGTCAGGAGCTCGGCGCGGCCATAGTCTGGGTTGGGGGCAAGAAGGGATGATCATGCATGATCAGCAGGTGGGAGATGGATCGAGTCATAATGAGCTTTAGTTGGTTGGGAAGGCTTTTTTGGCCAGCATATACCGGTACTACGATGATAAGCTGTGGAAAGATCATCCAATGGAGTAATCCTCCATACAATATATTGATGATCATTGTCCCCCTTGCATGTACTGTATAGCCTCAATACTATGACGAAACGTCTGCTGATAAGTATGAGTACGAGTATCAGTGTTTTGAAACCCGGCTTGGTCTGCCTGCTTCGATTTGGTCAATAATGAACCCTTACCTGGATGGTCGACCTCGCACATGCGTCAGCTTGAGGCTGTATTCTCTCCTCCAGTGCTAGGTCTATGTTCACGACCACGGGGGTTGATAGCCATAGCCATGGCTATGGCCTCATGGCGGAAGTGCTGAGGCGACAGCCGACAGGCGCGCGGGGGATGGTGAATCATAGGGCGTAAATAAGTTATACAGAGCATCATAACTGGCTTTAATTGAACCCTACTCCTTACCACATCCAATCTTCAATCTAGTTATATAGCAAAACGATCAATCCCTCAAATAAACCAACTTCCGGCCCCGGACCTGCCCCCGTCGTAACCAGTCCAACCCCCTCAGCACGCCAGTATACCCGCCCTCCAGCACCTCATAGGGATGCGGGACGATCTCCCCCCGTCGCACAACCGCCTGGATCTCCTCGAAGCAAGTACCGACATGCACGCGGGCCGCCGGATCGGCCGCGCGGTAGTACTCGCCGGGCAGACGCACTTCGACTCCAAACCCCGCCGCGGCCACCAGCGATTCGAACCGGATTGCTTGAGTATCAGAAATCCCGGGCGACAGTTTTCCCAGCACGACACACACTGCTTCTTCTTCTTCTTCTTCTTCTTCTTCTTCTTCTTCTTCTTCTTCTTCTTCTTCTTCTTCTTCTTCTTCTTCTTCTTCTTCTTCTTCTTCTTCTTCTTCTTCTTCTTCTTCTTCTTCTTCTTCTTCTTCTTC